ATTGAACAAGAATGGGAAAGCATTTTATTCTCACTGTAAACCCTCACCGGGTGGCCCCTGAAGGGTGTGCTAAAAAAGAGGCTGCAAAAGTTTGTGGTAACTGCAACCCTGTTCAAATCAAATTGTGAAGAACAGAATTTCTTTTAAATTTGACAAACAAAATCTGTCAACACTAGTTTTTTCTTTTAATTCTTTCATGTCGCACAATAAACTTCTTCTTTGGGGTTAAAGAAAGAAGCAGAGTTATTGAGGCAGGTGTGACGGCATGAGGTATTTTGTGTGAAAATTAACGCGGGCCAGGAAGAACATCAGACAAAAGGGAGATTTCAGTATCTAAATAAAGTGTCAGGTCAAAGCTGGGGTCGAAATACCCCCCGCCCCCTAGTCTCTGCAGGGGATTTGGTCGCCAAGGAACACAACACCAGGCTAAATGACGGAGGATTTGTTGTGTCATATTTAGACCCACACCACCACGGTGGCACCAAGTGCAGAAAGAGCGACAATGAGTTAAGGAGCCTTTTAATCATGCTCATAAATTCACGATTAGGTGGAAAAGAATCCACCAAAGCAGAAATAGGTGCCGAGTGGATGGGTGCTCCAGAGTGATACGTTATAGGTGCATTGCATAGATCAAAGAATCGGAAACTCCGGTATGTCTAACCTGTTCATAACTCAGAAAGTAATTGCTTATCTTTTCAGCCTGCCATGCCAGGATAAGACTCTTTTTGTTTTCCACTTAAGAGTTATTTTGCACTGGCCACATGAGCGTTCCTCAAATCATTCATTTTCTCAGACAAGATCACATTCTTTCCCCTAATTTTGGTTTACTGACTGGATTCATAAAAATGTCACATGATGTTAATTTGGGTACAACAAATAACAACACATAAATATTTTCCCTTGACAAAATGAAAGGAGCTGACGAGATTGGTGTCTTGTGAGGACCAATGTCACACTTTCGGATGAACCTTTCCAGTAACACTGAACACATCGATCTCATTGTACTTCATGGTGGTGGCAGCATCATACTGCGGTGAAGCTTTTCTGCAAATGGGACAGGTAAGATGTGTTGGAAAGATGCATGGAGCAAAATACACAAAAATCCAGGGAGAAAACTTGTTAGAGGCCTCAAAAGAATTGAAAACGGAGCACATTCAAGTGTAAGAATGGCCCAGTCAAAGTTCATGGGAGGAGTTTGCTTCCCATTCTTTTTATCACTGCATAATCTGTCCTGGAAGCACTATTTGTACCATTTGGGCATGTGATAAAAGAAACACTTCATAGTTTTGTTTTTTTTTAACAAACACTCTTTGTGCTCTTTTTGTATCTTATTATAACTGCAAAAACAGCATATGACAAAAGAGACTAAAAAACAGAGATGAAAAGGGTTTAAATGCACTTTGCAGGCCTGCTTTAACTGCTATTTTCTAAAAAAAAAAAAGAAAAGAAACTGATCCAAGTAAATGTAAGCGTCTTTGAGGAATAATCAAATGCGAAGAAAGAAGCCATGATAAATTGGTGTTCCCCATGAACACATGGGAAATAGCCTGGTACGTTTTGATAACTTCTTTAGTTAATCTTATAAAAGGTGAGACTGTTATGAAAATAAAGGTCTTAAGTTGTCTATGACGGGTCCAACAGAGGATGCATTCATAGCGTAGATAGATACATTACAGTCCAGTGAATCCAAAACAGCTCCTGCATTGGACTCAATTAAACTAAATTAAGACAACTATTGTTCATTAAGGGAATTATTACAGTATTATTTCAACTAACATCATACATTAATATGCTGTACTTTCAAGAATAGTGATATGGAAGTGTGCAAACAAGCTAAAGATAGAAATAGTGCTTCCCATCTTTATTACTAATATTATCTTAACTAACATCATAAATAAATATGCTGCACTTTCTGGGATAGTGACGTGGAGGCATGCAAATAAACTAAAGATAGGAATCGTGCTTCAGGGTCTGATCATGTGGTGATACTTTTACAAGTAGTGGGGTCATCTCTGCACGTTGTGCATCTTTTCTTGTTCCACACTTCTTCCTTCCAATAAACTTTCTATTAATACACTGTCTAAGATACAGCTGTCTGTAAACAGACAGCTTCTTTAGCAAGTTTTCCCTTCTGGTGGACAGCTGGACAACTGTCAAATCAGCAGTCTTCCTTATGAATACACGAACCATAAAATAGCATTTCTGTGTTTATAATAATGTTTACATTGGTCTTGTATGACATGCAAATTTTCTGGGAAGTTTCACTTCATTAGCTGTGAGCCAAAATGACCAAAGACAACAGACATACAACTTTTTGTTGTTAATCTACGAACATTTTGATTTTTTATTTGGATCATTGAAATAACCAATTTTTTAATTGGCCACCCTGTAGCAGAAATAGATAATGGGTGGAATATACTTTTCAGCAACAGTCTAATTTATTAATGTTGAACTTTTCCGTTTGTTATGTTCCTTCTTTTGGTTTGTAAAACGACAAAGATTTCTCCCCCACTGTTTTCATGAACCACCTGGTGACTGCAGCCTCTTTTAAACTCTGTTCATGGAAGATGGATATGAAACACCTCGGCTCACGTAATGTCAAGACGGGGACAGTTGCCTTCCTATTCCCACAGTGGAAACCCCAAATGATTGTATCCGTCCTCACCGGCTCTAACTGCCCCTCTGAGACGCTCATTATGACGCTGCACGTTCTCCATAGCTGGTTGCAGAGATCCATTTCGACCACCTCCGCAGTGAAGTTCTTCCAAAGGGCTGATACTGGATCTTGGATGACCCAGAGTAATTCCAGTCCAATTGGTTGCTGTGGCATTAATGATTAACAGTACTCTGGTGATGATGGGGACTGCCTCGGCTGACCTTTTCAGGCGGCTGTATTTGTGGCCAGCGTAAGTACCGGGCTTTACCATCATGATAGTCCGGACAGCTGCACTTTTATCCGCTGGCCTTAGCAGCTGAGGTGGCCGCCCTGGTTCGGAGCCTGCGGAGTGGAGGAGGGGAAGCTTTGCACCGGCTGAATGGAAAGAAGAAGGGCCAAGGAAAGAGGGAAAGCAAAGGGTCATTACTTCAGCTGGGCATTAAAGCAGAGCTGTCCCTGGAGGTATTAATTTGACCAATCGAACCGGACTGAACTGAACCGATTGGCTCCCATGCCTAATTGTACAACTAATGGCAACATTTCCATAATAATCAAATGAAATCCTCCTCCAGTCGTTTCACCAGAGCTAGTACAACACGATCTTCTGTTTGAGATGCTATCATCTGACTTCAATTTTACCTACAGTACTAGACTAAACTGCACAACTTCTTGTTTGTTCCAACTGTTTGGTTCTAACCTTATCAGCATGCAGAGACACTAGCATAGTCTTTTTATGGTTGGAAATGAAGGAAATTAGAGACTTATCTAATTTAATAATTGGTAGAATTTGGACTGGATCAGTTTGTTTTCTGAAATGTTTTTTTTTTTTAAACTTGAGTGTTGTTTTTCACAAGACAGCACAAGAAACTCTTGATGCTCTGAATATACATACATACACACATATATGTATGCATATATAGATAGATAGATAGATAGATAGATAGATAGATAGATAGATAGATAGATAGATAGATAGATAGATAGATAGATAGATAGATAGATAGATAGATAGATAGATAGATAGATAGATAGATAGATAGATAGATAGATAGATAGATAGATAGATAGATAGATAGATAGATAGATAGATAGATAGATAGATAGATAGATAGATAGATAGATAGAAAGAGAGAGAGAGAGAGAGAGAGAGAGAGAGAAAGACAGACAGACAGACAGAGAGAGAGAGAGAGAGAGAGAGAGAGAGAGAGAGGAAGGTCGGGTTTGAAATGTTCAACTTCTGCCATGAAAATATTCATAGGCAGAGGGACCAAAACTTGTATTCAAGTAAGAGTACCATTGTGTCAATATATCTTTCTTTTTGAAGTGAAAACTAAATGACGAAACAGGCTCAACAAAAGAAAAAAAACAAAAAACATTCAAACTATGAAGCGTGTCTAAAAACCAGAAGTCACTCTTTAATCTAAAATGTAATTGTGTGTCTGTGACCAGTGCATTTTTGGTTGAAACTTGCTGGTAGGTAGAGTATGCACAATTGTACTCAAAGAAGAGCAGAGCGACTTTAAAATTGTGTTGCTCGAGAAGACGTGACAGCATGGTGCAGTAAAACTACCTGCAGAATTACGTACTTTTCCAAATGTTACTCAAAATAAATGTAAAGAGGTACAAGCAAAACTGAAAAGGAAAAAATATAAAAACTACAATATATGCTCTATTGTCATCATCTAGAAACGCAGATACACTTGGTGACGTCACACACATGTGGCCTCAAAATCAAAGTGGGTCCATGGTGATGCTTATTCTGAGCAAAACCTTCCCAATATACAGAGAGAGAGACTGGAAGATCATCCCCATGGAGGGTCCTGGACGGGCCCAACGTGTGAATGGGAGAGCGAAGGGTTGAACACAACAAAGCCAAAGTTTTCTAGAAACATTGAGTCTCTGTTGTCAGCAGGCCTGGATACCGTAGCCATCACACGGGGCTGTAAGACGGAGTCTCCTGTGAGGGAATGTCAGAAGACGTGGGGACAGATGAGACATCTGAGAATAGGAAATCCTCGCTAATCTGTGACATCATTGCAATCATACACGTCAAACACAACAAGTCAGCAGGGAAAAACCCCGGGAAGTGAATTACTTTACAATCCAAGGAAATTTTGAGTGAGTGAACCTCCGGTGAGGGCATGAGAGACTGAGAAGAACAACTGAGTGACCTTAAAAGGCTACGCAGTCGTGCTGGTGCCGTAGTGTGGACATGAAAAGGGGCCTCGAGGGTTATCTCTCAGAGGTGCTGCTGTATTTATAGATCATCTCAAAAAAAAAAGAAAAATAGACCCTGCCCTCATTCTACTCTCCCCCTGAGCCCCTCCCTCATTTCCAATTAGCCCATGACGGGTCGGCTAATGTAATCAGGAGTAACTGCGGCGCTCCCGGAGCTTCGTCTCTCAGTCTGCCCCAGACTCAGCACAGACACACACTCCTCACACAGGAAGGTAAGAGCCAAACTCAGCTCCTCTACTCATCCATCCATTCACCTGTCCATCCTTCTCTTCTTCTTCACTGGTCTTCATTCACCATGTCCTCCACTCTGAGGCCATGCTGCTCATCGGCATCCTCATGTGTGCTTCCCTTTCATGCTCTCCTGTTTTCCAGAGGAACAAGATCCCTAATTGTTTACCTCTGCTTCATCCCTCACTCCACTTTCCTCTCCATATTTCTGTGCAAAATAAACACTTTGAAAATCTGCCAATTGAATTTTATAGAGTTAGTTTAGGCCTTTCACTCCTGTTTTCTCCTCATCCAAGAGAAACTCTTGTTGCAAATTGAAAAGTGGTGACTTTCCTTTGATGCTATGATGCTGTTCGTGATAAACTATTACAGGGACATCTGATGTTTGGCTTTAGCATCAAATCTAGTGAGCATTGCGTGTTTAAGTTGAGTTGTTTAGTTTAGTCGCATTATGGGTTGAGTATAAATTTAAACTCAATCCTTGCAAATTAAGGTCTAAATTATTTTAACTCCATTAACCACTTTAAAGGCTGTAATTAAAGTGCTGATGTCAAACTGTGTTTAATTGAAAAGGAATGCCCTCGTGATTTGATGCTTTGGAAAAGCAACTAATCCCAGAAAAAAGCTGAAACAGCTCAGTCAGAGAATGTACAAGTTATTGAAATATTTAAAATCTGGAAGACAATTTTAAAAGTAACAATCACCGTCAATAAAACATCTGGAAGCTTGGAAAAAAAAGCAGCAACATTTTTTATTTTCTCATTTCTTTCTCTAGAATATTGTAAGTTTTTATTTCAGATTTAAAGACATTTTTTAAAAAAAAGGTCACCTTTTCTTTAGAGGCAAATAGTCACTGGAGATTAAATTCCTTGCAGTCTGCCTCCCAGATGGATGGGCATCAAAGCGGACCCCAGAACCTGACAAAACAGCTGCATGGCACGTCCAAATAGCTGCAGGTCTTATTTGTGGTCGTTCAGATTATCTTTCCGTATTTTTAGGAGTCAGATAAATCCTTATATAAGCTAGGTGAGTCGTTGTGGGAGCAGTAGACAATGAGGGAATGTGGGAGGAGTCGGGTGCGTTCGTAATGGAGAGGCACGGACGGGATTAAAGGTCTTGGTTTTGTCCAGACAAAAGATGGTCTTGCCTCCTCAATTCCAAGAGGATCCCCCAGTCGGTCACAGGTCTTGTTTTAAAACTAGAGCCAGTCATGGAGAATGAAAAAAACTGACTGGATTTGTAAGAAAAATACGTAGTATCACAGTACTAGGTAAACCCCAAGCAGCTGCCCGTGTTTTAATAGCCATTACTACGAGTGCCGCTCACAATGACCAGGGAAACAGGGGTCTGGCGCTGACAGTTGGAGATGAGGCCCTGGATGGGTCAGTACACACTTGAATAGTGGGCGTTGGTATGCAGGGAGGGCAAGTGTTGACTGTCTCTAAGCAGGGCTGATAGGAGTTATTTATATCTCTGCAACCGATCACTCTCTGCTCCTGATGCACAGAACAAAGGGAAATCTGGTAGGAAAGATTAGAGAGAAAACTGTTTTCCTTTTTTATTTGGAAAGGTCTTACAAATAAATATAGCCTGCAGTCTTTTGGTTCTCAGGTGAGTGACTCTTGGTCAAAATGACTGAGCGCTACGACTGCCACTACTGCAAGGAGTCCCTGTTTGGAAAAAAGTACGTTCTTCGAGAGGACAATCCCTACTGTGTGAAATGTTATGAGAGCCTGTATTCCAACACTTGTGAAGAGTGCAAGAAACCCATTGGCTGTAACACCAGGGTAAGTAATTGAATTGAAAAAGAAACACTACAAACATGTACAAGATGAGACTGTGTCATCTTGGCAACAACTATCTGACATTCCTTGCAGGATCTGTCCTACAAGGACCGCCACTGGCATGAGGACTGCTTCAAGTGCTTCCAGTGCAAGCGCTCCCTGGTGGACAAGCCGTTCTCCACCAAGGATGAGCAGCTTCTTTGCACCGAGTGCTACTCCAACGAGTACTCCTCCAAGTGCCATGAGTGCAAGAAAACCATCATGCCAGGTAAAAAGGAAAGCAAAGATTTTTAGATTTTCCTTTGAAGAGCTTCGATGTGACTAAAAGCAGACAAGTGGGGGACGTTTCCTGAGGGGTGGGTGGCCTGGTGTGAGCAGTGGCATTTCTAGCATAACTTCTGCCTTAGGTGAGCTCTTATTTCTGCAAGTTGAGTACTGCTTGCACTGCCCCAAAAGGTTCCATTCACCATGAAATGGACATGCATGTAAGAAATTAAAAAATTATTTGAGGCCCAAGAAACTTATGAAGAACTGACAAGATATTTTTGAGTGCCTGTTACCTTCATGATCAGGCTGAGGCGGCCTGAATGACAATAGTAGAAAGAAGGGGCCAATAATAATTCCATCGCCAGATGCATCAATAAGTCAAGTGGCATTCACACAAGAGGCAATTAAATGTTCATTTTAAATCTTTGTCCCCATTAACACATCAACACTTAAATCTGTGCCATAATCCGCTATAATGATTACCTACTGACCGGTTTCCATCCATCCATCCATTTTCTTACACCCTTGTCCCGAGTGCGGTCACATGCTTATCTCCAGCGCAACATTACTGGCGAGAGGCGGGGTAGACCCTGGACATGTCGCCAGTCTATTGCGGGGCAACACCAACCGGTTTGTCAAATGAAAAAGATATGAAAAGAAGAAGAAGAAGAAAAAAAAAACATGTCTGCTTTTCTAACTTCCCACTACTTGTGGTTCTGCTGCATAACTATCAGCTTGTACATGAACAGGAAACATTTGGAAAAACTTTCAGTTTCTGCTCATGTGTTTTTTGTTTAGTTGGCAGAATGCAAACTTTTATTGACCTTTTTTCCCCCACCTTTCAAACTCTTTTCTGTCAACACCTCTTTCTATTAAAATTATACAATTGGAAAAAAAGTTAAGAGATTACCAAGGTTCAGCCTTCCTCCAGTGTAGTTGAAATACTATTATTTCTCCATCTACAGCAGAAAGCCAAAATTTTTAAACTATAAATGAAGAAGACATAACTTTGGATTTCATCGACGTACAGGATGAACTCCAACCACTTAGTGCTGATTCAATTCTGGTTGAATTTATTTACACTATTCACAATTCAACCAGTCTTATCCAAACTGACCTGATTGTTATGAATATACCCAATTACTCTATTAGGATGAAAAGCTGCCTATTGGTGGTTCCTATAGTTCTGTCTCAGCACTGGTTCTTTGTCCATCTCTTTAACTTCCTGTTGTCTCTTCCACCTCGATTTCCTGAAGGCTCCAGGAAGATGGAGCACAAGGGCAACAGCTGGCATGAGACCTGCTTCACCTGCAAGCGGTGCCAGCAGCCAATTGGTACCAAGAGTTTCATCCCGAAGGAGAACCAAAACTTCTGTGTGCCTTGCTATGAGAAGCAGTTTGCCATGCAGTGTGTACATTGTAAGAAGGTAGGACTTCAAGCACATTTGTGTTTTTATGAAACACAAAAGGGTAATAAGATGATGCTCATTCCGATTAGCCCATCACTACTGGTGGGGTGACCTACCGTGATCAGCCCTGGCATAAGGACTGCTTCCTGTGCACCAGCTGCAAGAAGCAGTTGTCTGGCCAGAGGTTCACCTCCAGAGATGACTTTGCCTACTGTCTGAACTGCTTCTGCAACCTTTATGCCAAGAAGTGTGCCTCCTGCACCACCCCGATTAGTGGTAATCAAACAGTCCTTGCGCTAACTGGATCCAGAACTGCTTTTCTCAGGTTTCCTGAAGGTAGACTTGTTGTTTTTTCATCAGGTCTGGGAGGAAGCAAATACATCTCCTTCGAGGAGCGCCAGTGGCACAACGACTGCTTCAACTGTAAGAAGTGCTCTGTGTCCCTGGTTGGCCGTGGCTTCCTGACTGAACGGGATGACATCCTGTGCCCAGAGTGTGGCAAAGATATTTAAAAATACAAAAATACAACTAACAAATGGCAGATATTTTGAATAAGTACTATTAGACAATAAAATATATAGCATCTTTGATGTAACTATGATTGTACATTGTTTTCAGCTCTGGATTGCACACTAATTGTGTTCTTTGACTTCATGAAGCTTATTCAAAGTTACCTGTAAGTTCCTTCAAGATGAAAATGTATTTACTAATCAAGAAGCGGTAGGCATGAATGTAAAGAGTTGCATGCTAAGTAAAGCAACTGCGTTAATTTAAACTTTCATCAGTAACGTGGTCAGCATTTTGTGAGCAGTCAAACCTGATGCCAGAACACCGTGTTCCAAATTATTATGCACATTGGATTAAAGTGTCATAAAGATTACAATTTCTGTTGAGCTAGTAAACTTATAGGCCGTATTGTGTGTCAGGACTCAGGCATAATGAAGAAGGTTTCTGTTAGACAAATTCATCAGATTAAGCTGATAAAATGCCCTTACAAAGCAGCAAACAGTTATTAGAAGCTGCAGGTGCCTCTGGAACCTCAAGGTGGAGGATCCACCAGAGGCTTGTGGTGCATGAACCGACTATTCAGCCCCCCTGACCAGAGATCACAAGCAGAGACGGTCACATGAAGATTAAATTTCAAACAGACTTGTTCACTGATGACTGCTGTGCAACCCTGGATGGTTCAGATGGACGCAGTAATGGATTGGTGGTGGCTTTGGGCCCAAATCATGGGGAGAGAATCATTGGTCGGCCCCTTGACCTCAGGTATATATATGGACTTTCTGACTCATCACTTTCTTTCATTGTTCAAAAAGAAGAGTCGTGCCTTCAGCAGCAAAACCATCTTCATACTTCAAGGAATACCACCGTGTCATTGGCTGCTATGAGCATAAAAGGGGAGAAACTCCTTTGTGGTCACCATCCTCCTCTGACCTCAACCCTATTGAGAATATTTGGAGTTTCCTCAAGTAGAAGATCAGAAGGTGGAATGAAGTTCATATCAAAACAGCAGCTCTGTGAAGGTTTCTGACATCCTGTAAAGAAATTCAAGCAGAAACTCTCCACAAACTCACAAGTTCAATGGATGCAACAATTGTGCAGGTGATATCAAAGAAGGGGTCCTTTGTTAAGATGTAACTCGGTCTGTGAAGACGTTTTTGATTGAAATAGTTTTTGATTTTAATACATGTGACCACTTAATGCTGCACATTCAAATAATGACCATTTGCTGTGCATAATAATTTGGAACAGTGTATTTTGAGTTTTTTATGAAAAAAAAGAATACTGTTCTCACAGGGAGCTTTGTTCAGTACTGATTGATATTGTAACAGATCCTGACTTGAAAATTATACTGACCATCATTTACATTGACCATTTAAGAAAATCTGAGGAAATATCACTGCCATAATAATTTGGAAACGGTGTATATCAAAGTTTTTCTATTGACGTCTTTGAGAATGCCAAGTTTTTTCAAATGCAGAATTTGAACTATGCTGCGCCTTATATTTTCTTGGGAGAGAGAAAGACAGATTTTTGGTCAAAAATAAAAATAAATCAACGAAATGAATAAAATAAAAACTGACTTGTAAATTTGTTTTACCTTGAACTTTTTCAGATTTTGTTCATCCACAAATGTCACTGCATATTATTGGGATTTTATGTGGAAATGCTTTGAGAAAATTAGGTTACAAAACTATGTCCCAAGCTCAAAACATTTCAGAGCCAATGTTTAAATCACCACCTCATAATAATAATGAAAAGTAACATGATGGCTTCTCGCCTAAACTGATAGTTCAAGTAAGGAGCCAAGAAGCTCAAAGCAGCTCTGGAGGAGCTGCAGAGATCCACAGTTCCGGTGAAAAATCTGTCAAGATATATTATTAGTCAAGCGCTCAACAAATCTGGCCTTCATGGAAGAGTAACAAGAAGAAATCCAAAAGAAATCACATTTAAATTAAGCAGCAAATCATGCAGTTGATGAAGCCAAAGCATTTTAAGATGTGGGGGGGAAATTTTCTTTTTGGCCTCCAGTGGAACAGTTTAGATTGAAGCATATTAATGTTTTCAAATTACCAAGTGAAACTCCAAACCCAAATCAATTTGAAAATCTGTGGCAACGTTTGAAAATGCAAGTTGCGAGATGGATGTGGAAAAGCTGGCAGAGACACGCTGCAAAAGACTTGAAATAGGGATTCAGGCAAGTAATACTATTTTCATAGTATTATGCCTAATAAAGTATATACCCTAATAAAGCCATATTGAACATGTTTGCTCACTACTGAAAAGCATTAAAAAGATGAGTAAAAAAGTTCCTGGAGGTACTTTAGATAAAATGTAAGCAGTATATTAGTTCTTGAAAACATTTGTTGAAAATGAGTAATTATCAAGTAATTTTGTAGGACTGTTTAAGAGCTAATATAATAACATCCAAGCTGCAGGTCATTAGCAATTGATTTTGTAGCCTTTTATAATGTGCAAACAAATGACTTATAAAAAAATGAAAGGGCTTTGACAATAATATTTGATTTCAGAATATAACAGTAGGTCATGTGCTGTAAATTTTACAATAAATGTATATGAAATAATTGAGACAAAACCAACAAACCTTCAAGACTGAAGTCAACAAAGAGGTCTGTTGAGATTTTATTTTAAAAAACTGTTTCTACAAATGCTGAAAACATTTTTTGCTGTAATGAACTTTGTCTACATCAAAGACATCTGTTGCAAAGGGAAATTATTCTAATCAATAAATACAGCTTTACAGGGATCTAAGCCCGAGTCAGTTTATGTTCAATATACAAAAGTAGTCATAAATTTCCCAAACCTTCTGCTTGATGCCCATTTAACCCTGGATCTTGATCAATCAAGGATTTTGGAAATACCACTAAATAAAACCTTGATCTTACTAGAATTACAGCAACAAACTGAAAAGCATCCATAGGTTGCCAAATGACATTGATTCAATTGCTACACTACGTGGTGATTAGGGTAACAAATCTGTATCAGTGGGACATCAATATGTCTATCCATATCAAAGTGTAGGAGTCTTCTGAATTTTTTATAAACCAGAAAAAATCACATTTTCATCAAATACTGTTGAAAGCATCAACAGTCATTCTAATTAAATTAAAAAAACAAAACAAGATGACAGATGCTGGCAATGAGGACAAAAAGGGCACTTGAGGCTGCAAAAAGCAACCAGGCAGATCCTGACTTCACCAAGCAGGGTTGATCTCCTGAGCGTCTCTGTCCACCATAAATAAGAATATTAAAGGGGTTCTTGTGTACGTCTAAAAAAAAACCACTCATTCCATCTTTTAGTTGGAAAACTGTAATTGTGAGAGGTTAGGTTGTGAGAGGTAAAGGACATGATGGGGTGAGATTTACGGATGAGTCTGAGCTGCCATGCTGGGTCAGATGTCATGGCCACGTTATGTGTTGGATCTTTTTTTTCACCTCTGGAAATTTTAGAGCACCCTGAAAAGACAAGAGAAAAATTAATCATAACACTTGATCGTTGCTATAGTTTTAAAAAAAAAACAATATTTGTTCATCTTCTTTTTGGGAAAACTCCTTAAGCTGTTATAGTACAATATTGTGAATTGATTTTAAGGATTTCCAGTCGATCAGAGAAACTTCCTACCGAGTCGCCTGCGTCCCGTTTGAGGTTTGCGGTTTCAGAGCTGTGATGGGTGGATGAGGAAGACGACGATGAAGTGCCTGAGAGTTTACGGATGGGGTTGGAAAGATGTGCAGAAGGAGGAGGTTTTAGTCTGTCTGTGACTGCGGCTTTCGGACCCTCGGGTTTCTTCACTTTCAGCGGGCCCGACTGAGAGGACTTCCCGTCGAACACAATCAGTGGCCTTTTCCTGTGTTGGTCATTGCAGGAGCTGGAAACACGACAAAAAATATCCAGCAGATGTTCAGTGTGTAAAGAATTCAGCTCCGTCAAAGATACACACATCTGCAAAGGAATGAATAAATACTCAGGTCAGAACTGTTTATTTCATTTTGTGGATTTGAAATGACACAAGGATAAAATATACTTAAAATATGCAAGAGCTCCTTGGGAGTAAAGTAGCCTAGCAAGAAATGTATCCTTCAGCTAAAATCCACCAATGTCCTGCAGCCTTAAGAGTGAACCTTGACCTTTCTGACCTGTGTCCAGCGGCTGTCTGTCTCCCCTGGCTCTTCTGCATCCTCCGTCCCCAGCGGTTGTTGGGTAAAGTCCTCTGCGGCAGCGGGATGACATGCCGCAGGTAGAGCTCTGTCAGCTGGTCCCTGTCTTCACAGGCTCTGGTGCTGACATTTCTCTGGCTCAGAACAAAGAAAACCTCCGAGTCCAACATAAAATTCACACAACACGCACTGAGAGAGTTAAAAGTAAAACAGCCCTACTGTTTAGCTGACAAGCTAAAATTTCAACATTCTTCTTTTTTTTCCCACTATCAAAGGATTCCTTTCGCATCACTCTTCAACTTTTAACTCACCTCCTTTAAAATGAGCTGCATAAAATCCTGAGACAGAAGCTCAGGGTGAAGTAGGAGGTCAGGATCTGAGGTCGCAACACTCTGTTTGTTTCGTCCTGTGGCTGCAGCCATTGTTGCTACTCTTCTTCTCTGAGGGTTTATCTGCGACGGCTTCTCCTTTGCAATCCTGCACTGCCACCTGCTGGACACAACAGGCTCTTTCTGCTGTGTGTTTCAGAAGGATGTTTTTTTCTTTCTTTCTTAATTTCTTGGGAAATTCCTACATTTTATGATAAACGAAACTCTCTAAAGAATCATTCGAGAAAGGCACTAGCTCCTTGAGGGTAAAGTAGCCACAGAAGATGGATGAACGCATAGACGGATGGACAAAGGCCTCGACTATGTTTTTTTTCCTATGGAAACAAAAAACCCACACACTTAGTGGAACTTCATACATAAAAATCTTTAATAACCTTGCTTTGCCTTTCAAAAAATTTGAAATTAATCTCAACAAACATTTAAAACTGACAAAACAAGTTTCATATTACAAAATTCTGCTCTTCTTGGTATTTGTTAGTTTTTTTTTTTTTACATTTATACTGCCTGATTTGTCTGTAACCCCTTCATTTTTACACATCTGAAAACAAAAGTATTTTTCCCCCAATTATTTGTTTCAGGACAATAGGTTACAGCGTGCAGCAGACAGGTCAGACCAGGAGCTCACAAAGGAAGATGAAAAACAGGTGAAACTTCTGTAATAATCTGCAAACTAAGCATATATTTACTTATGGAAACAAACAGTAGACAATATACTGCACATGATGTTTACAGAAGATGTGATGTTTTTCTTCTATTTCATTTTTTACCATTTTGTGCACGGAAAGGACACACTGGCTCAGTGCCATATAAGATTGTTCACACCATTGTTACAACCCAGAACTTTTACATGTTTTATTGAGATCTTATGTGTTTGGCCAACACAAAGTAGCACATAATTGTGTAGTGGAAGGAAAATGATACATAGTTTTAAAGATAAAATGAGAAGTGAATAAATGGGGTGGGATAAGCTAAACAAAATTACCCCAAGCTTTCAGCATCTCACTGAGCACTACGTAATCCATCATCTTAAAACAGTGTAGTACAACATCAAGCTTATCAAGACATAGGAAGGTGTTTTACATTCTATGCACTTCCACCCCATTGTAAAACATGGTAGTGGCAGTATTCTGTTGTGGGAAGGTTTTTCTTCAGCAGGGAGAACTAATCTGGTCAGAGTTGATTGGAACAGTGATGGAGTTAAATAAGGGACAATCGTGGAAGAAAACCAGATGGAGGCTGTAATGTCATGAGCTGAAGCTTTTCCTACCAGCAGATGCGTCAAGACTTCAGAATAAATGTTTACACACCTTCTCCAGGTGGGAGACTTTGCTTAAAATTAGCTTGCATAAAATGATGGGAACAAATGTCGTCCTCTGACGTATGCGCTACTTTGTGCTGGAGTACGCACATGAGTTTATGGTTGCAAACGCAACTAATGTGAAAAAATTCAAGAGATTATGTTGAAATGGAGTGTACATTATTGAATCTATGTTTTGTGGTATATTGCTTTAAAACACACTTCCTGTTGTGGGGGAGCATTTAAAACATGACAACATCTAGCAGAAGGGTCAGTTGCTGTTTCACACAGCAGACTGAGTCTCGCTGCACACATAAATGTTGCTGGGCCTCACTCTCCTGTGGCTCCTGCCTGGCATTCGGGGACACAGCCTGCAGCTTTTGGGGATGAACTCCTGACAGGCCTCCCTGAACTTGCGGATCCTCCAGCAGTAGATGACGGGGTTGAACACCGTCTTCAGGTAGCTGAGCCACAGAGCGCCGATGCTCACCGGGTAGAAGATGGGGCTGTAATAGAACTGCCGGCTGAACACGGCCAACAGGCTGACCACGGTGTGGGGCAGCCAACACACGGAGAAACCCACGAAGAGGATGAGGATGGTGGTGAAGGCTCGGGTCTTGAAGCTCATGTCCACCTTGATGTGAGGCGGCCGCTGCAGCCCGGTGAGCCTCATCTTGCTGACCTGGCTGAGGGCGGGCAGACAGGAACGCTCGCTGGTGTGGTTGTGGATGCGCAGGGTGTTGCGGCGCACTGTGTTTAGGATGCACATGTACGAGTACAGCATGACAGCAAACGGTACAAAGAACACGGCCACAGCCAGGAGCACCGTGTACCCCCGGTCTGCCATCGACTCGCTGTACCCCAGCACGCACTGCGGCGCCCAGGTGCCCCCGATCCCTGCTGCACCTGTCCTCCACCCGACCACAGACGGCAGGGACACGCACAGGCTCAGCACCCAGGAACCTGCTATCAGCACTTTGGCCCTATGTGGGGTCAGCTTGTCCTGCCGTTGCACAATGATGAGAAATCGGTCCACGCTGATGATGAGGAGGATGGACACCCCTTCCAGAACGAAGAGCCAGTACAGCATGATGGAGGCTCGGCAGAAGCCACTCCCAAAGCTCCAGTCGGCGGTAGCCACAGTGACAGCGGTGAAGGGCATGCAGAGCAGCGAGAGCATTATGTCAGAGAAAGCCAATGTGGCCAGCAGGAGATTGATAGCTGAGCGCATGGCGGGCTTCTGGTAGACGATCAAGCAAACGATTGCATTGCCGAGGAAACCAATAGTTATCATGAAGATCATAATGGCCGCCAGTGTCACCCGGAGAGTGACCGATATGAGAGCAGGCGACGCTTCCGGAGGGAGAGTTTCTGCCGGCTGCTCCACGTCTGGCTCCAAGAGGTCACAGTCGTCCAGCAGGCTTTCGTTACAAAAAGCCATGGCAGCTTTTATCAGGCACAATCAACCCAGGGGAAGAAGAACATAGCTGGCTGGATACTGTCACTCTGAACAGTTTACCAACTGAGGTTTCTGGAAAAACCTGGAACAGGAAGACAAGAATAGAAAACTTTGTGATTTTGTAAAGTGAATGCAGTGTTTTTCTGAAGTACGTTAATATTTTTTAGATTTTGTCATGCGCAACTGTAGACTTTTGAGAAAAGAAAGGAGAGGAAAGTAAGCTTTTTATACAGTTTTGCAAATAGAACGTTTTAAAATTTGATTCATCCCCTTATTCTGTGGTACCCCTGAATAAAATCCAGCTCAACTATCTGCCATCAGAGGTGAGCTAATCAGTAAATGGAATAACTCCAGCAATGTTCTTATACAACTCTGACTAGCTTCTTTTTACCTGCTAAATTAAAGAATCCACTCAGCATGATGCTGCCATTGCTTTGTTTCACTGATGCACCACAGACAGCATTTTGAATGTAGACCACAAAGTTGAGTTTTGATCTTGTCGATGTTAGCTGTGTTCTCTAAATGGCTTAGAGTGAACGACAAATGAGACAACTTAAGGCTTTCTTTTTTTAAGAAAGGACTTTATCTTTCCACATTTCTATAATGCACGGCACATTGTGGAATAGTTCATGCAATAGTTCTTCATTGTTTTGCAGCCCTTTCCACCTGAGTTGTGGATCTCTGTTGCTCCTCCAGAATTGCATTCAATCTGCTGACTGCTTCTCTGACCACTGCTCTCTTGATCTTTAGATAGGTGGACGGCTATCTCTAAATTGGTTTGCATTTGTGCCAGATGTTTAACAATCTGTGCAAAGAACCAAAGATCAAAGTTGATAGAAAGGATCTTCAGAAGCTTCATGATCTGCGGACAGTTTGTGGAAGAATGGATCAAAAGTAATTTCTTGTGATGCTTGTAACTAGTTTCTCCATAAAGATGTCTTGAAGTTTTTTGTTACCAATAAAAGGCCATGTGTTCAATTACTCCATATGTCCTTCAATTTCTTTTTCTTATTTATACATTCATTTGAGGACAAATGTTGTATATGTGGGTTATTTGTGTTGCCACCAACATCTGGCATGAATTTCATGTCAGTGGAAATGCTTCAAAAATATTCACTGAGAAAAGCGTTGACGATTCAATACTGCTTTTACCCGCCGCTTACAGGCCTGCGAAACAGAGAAATGTGTCGCAGAGCTCAGTCCACAGTAGTTGATGATTAACTGCCAAGTGGTCATCATCAGAGTTTCACACTAGTAGAAATACACACATTTACAGCCCACCCACGGTGTAGTCAGCTGTCATCCTAATCCACTCTCCTTCTAGGTTGCCTGATTGGATAATGACGATGCAGCTTTCTTAAGTCAGAGGCATGTGAGTCACGCCTGAGTGTGTGGCGACTCTCAGCACGATAAGACGTTTATTACACTTTAACTGTCATGGTAGTTAGGGCTCTGTTCTGTTTTAGCCTTTATATTTAAAGGAACCGTATTTTCTTTATTTGGCAACACTTCAAGATGGCTGCTGTATGTCTTCAGTGTTTTGGCAAAACTAACAGTGACACCCCATCTAAACATGTTAACTATTACTTAAAAATGATTTCAAAATGACTTACTTATTTTTTGTTGCTCTATTTTAGATTGAAATACTGGAAAGTATTGAAAATATATTTTAATTTTATGTTGTCAAACTAATTTTCAAAGTTCAAGTGGGAGCAATGTGGACATTTATATACATTTTAGAAGCCAACATTATATGAATTCTTAATTGCACTGTCATCCAGCTGCAGTTTATATTTCAATGCAAAGTAGTTGAAATCTTTCCAGACATGAAACCTTTGAAAATGTGGATATAAGCAAACCAGGACGGAGTACATTCCCTTATGCATGGCACCTCTGCTGAAGATATAAAACATTAAAAATGATCTCTGGCTATCTTTATAACTGGAGTGTGAGTATATTTTTGTTGTCAAAATGTCCAAAGTGAGATAAAGCTACTGGAGTATAGCAAATGAATTTATTTCAAGTATTTTAAACATAAAGCATCGCAATCCAATTTAGCAGATCAACACTGACATTAACTCATTTGATGTAAGTTGTATTATTCTATAAAAGTTTTATAACTTCAGTATATTTGTAATGTCTTGCATAAATGTAGATTAAAATCAGAATCTAACAAATCAATCAGAATCCTAACATTTCGAAAAATAAAAGAAAATAAAAGAAAAAGCAATTGCAGAAGAAAAAAACAGCAAACAAAGTAAATCATCTTTGTAGGTCATTAATCCGCCTTTCAAGTCACTGCACAGTGATGCTGGCTGTTGCCATGGAAACAAGGTTCAGCCGCTCCATGGCAACAAGCAGCTCTCGCTGTCATTGTTGCACAGCTGTCAATAAGAAAAGCTCATGATCTGCCTGTCTGCGCAGACAGAGGAGGACGACGGGTCCCCGCATGAATCCAGGTGTGAATAAACAGCAGCGTCTCATCCGCTGCGGGGTCACAGTTTCAGGTGTGGTCAGACCTGCAGCAGCTCTGCTGCGAGAACGGCTGTAGTCTGAGATAGAGCCGCGAATTTATTCATTTTCATGCAGATTTTAAGTCATTTCGCCCCCACCGGATGTTCCCAACATTCCCCCTCTATTTAAGTTTTTTTTTGTTTTTGTTTTGACTCAGCTCGGTCCACTCGGGCTGCACAGCGTATTCTCAGCTCGACACGCCAATATGGATTTCTCCCGCAGATGATTTACTCTGTGGTTTGTTTGTTTTTTCCTACGGAAACCGAAGCGGAGAGAGCGTCCTCTTAAGAGAATCAACTAAAAATCTCTTCAAATGCCACCCAGACCGACTCACCTGACACAAGAGGTGTGAGGGTAGAAGAGGAGTCGTTCCCGTGCCTCTCATCCGGCGCATGCCAGCGTTGTTATGAGGAGATGTCACATTGCAACATTTCCCTGCCGGATCGATCGTGCAGCCATCGTGCCGCCCGTGGGCGCTGCTGACGCCAGAGGAGCAGGTGGTCTCCGAGTTAAAGGAGCAGTCAGGCAGGAAACAGGATCTTCCTCGCGATGATCCCTCTGATGGGCAACTTCGCAATGCTGCATCACTTGCTCCCGACAAGCGTGTTCAACAAAGATGAAAAATAATGACTTTGTCATTCTGTTTATTTTTCTTTGCTTTATGTAATCAACTTTAAAGTAGGTTGAATTGGAACAGAACGTTCTGCCACAGAATTGAAGTCTGGACTTTGACTGGACCATATGTTTCTCAAGCTGTGGACAGCACCTCAGAGAGTTTTGAAGAAAGTTTTTGTATTAGTTATGTGCTGGGACACTTCTGTTGACTTCAAGCTAAATTTTGCCTTCATCCAGTTGCATTTGCTTATTGATGTCCTCAGGCTGCAGTCAGCCAGTCGAACTGTACACAATAATAAAGTATTTCTATCCATTGTTATTTTCAGTAAAGACGTTTATTTAAGATAGTGCTACTTGGAGACCTTAACATTTGCTTTATTGGTGCTTGTATAAAATTTGAGGTGAAATAAGGAGTTCAAATATTTCGTTAAAGCTCTGACTTTACGTTATGGTTATTGTTCTACTCAGACTCAAAAAACACTTTGCAACTTCTCAAAGGATTTTTTTTTTTCTATTTCCATTCATCCTCCCAATAATCTTGAACAGATTGCCTGTTCTTCCTGAAAAAAGACAACCCACCTCAAGATGCTGCCATTCCTATGTTACACAGACAATGGTGCGTTCAGGGTGTGTTTCCTGTAAACATTCTGCATCAAGGTCGAAACTTTCAGCTGTATCTCATCCAACCAGAGCCTCTTTGTCTGCATGTTTGTTATGTCCTATTTAGACTTTCTTTTATTAATTGTCCTCTCTTTCAGTAAAGATCAGATTAAACAAGCAAACACCTGGCAAGCAGAGTTATAGTGATCGACCTATGGGCAGATGTAGAGGAAAAGTTAAGTTCTTTATAGAAAGACATGTAGCTGAAATGTTAGAATAATTGTATTATATTTTTTCTAATGTCCATTAAATGTGTTAAATTAATCATAAAAACAGCATTTTTTAAAAAAGAGAAGTCCTTCTGGTGATTTTTCAGTTCTGAATGAATCACATATTCATTGCGTAACTCATCAACATGACTCATCTAGATTAGCTTCACAACTGAGAAACAAATCCAGTTTTTTTCCAAAGGTAATTTATTTGTGTTTTTCCACTTAAATTGGGAAATTGGTTTGCTTGTTCTAAATTAATTTCATTATCGCCCTTCGTGTCATCAAAAGTATTGTTTTGCTTTATTTATTTTTGTTGAAGGTAAATGGGTTTGTTTTTGTTCTTATCCTTTTTTTATTACTATTTTTTTTTACCCAGAACCATTAATAAAACTCACATGCGTTGTTAAGTCTCTCCAGAAGATGGCACTATTTCCCTATTGCTAACTCCCTTCTTGTCAAGCTATTCTGCATTGTACTATATGTTCAGGTAATATTTGAATTACTGCATGCTTTTAACTTATATATTTAATCTCTGTTTACATTAATAAAAAATAAATACCCTGTTTTCCTTCAGATCTTATTGATTTTTAATTGAATGCCAAAAGACAGTAGAACCTCCCCTTCATGCACAGGTTTTCCACAAATATTTTAGTTTTTGCAATAGATATCTGCTGTGCTCAGACAGAAACAGCCACGTTTAGTCACTTAACATGCAGGCCGATATTCTTTCAAATGGCATGCTTGTCTAAATTGGCATCGTGCCCATGTACTGAACATGCCCATCAAACGAGTTCCACTCCAGCGGTCTGGCACATGCATGCTTGTCACGTTCGGTGGCAGCCACACAACAAAGCTTGCTGGAAAGACAATTCATTTCCCCGTCCGTCGTTCCACAGATGTTTGCTTTAATTCCTTCCTGATTGGGAGACTTTGGTAGCTGCTCCATCAATCAGCGAAGAAAAAGCAAACACAAGCAAAGTGAAAAATCTCTTTTGATCAGAACCTTCAGACGGGAGAGGACACTGAGTTGTGTTCAGGGTTCTTTTTTTTTTTTTAAAAAAGAGGGAAAAGTCAGACTCTTTAAAATGCACTCGCACGCACCGAATAGGGGCACTTTTTAGGATCTTCTGATTCCAGGAAATCATTACTCACCTCATGAGTTTCTGTTCTTTTCTGTAGAACCCGCAGTGTGTTAATCAGTGCTAGACGTGGTGGTTAACATATCTCCCTGTTGTAAAAAATAATTAACACAGAGCAGTGGGGTTTGATAATGTTCAAACTGGATTGAAACAGTTGTAGATTGGGGGCTTCGCCGCTGTTAAATGATTAGTTTGATGCAGGTGCAGGTGTTAGTCAGCTGAATGTGTGGCTGTGCTGCAAACTGTGAGACACAAACAACAACTATTAAAGAGGGGGATTAATCTAGCAGTAATTGCTTCATGTAAAGCACCTCTGAACAAGGCTTTAAGAGCAATTATGAGCAATCATATTAGTAGTTACAACTGCAAGGAGGTAATAACATCCTCGGTGTGGAACTGCAATCACCACATGGCTCAGAGACGCAGGAAACAATAATCTATTGATGAATGATGTCACTTTTGAGCTGAGCACAATTTGATTCCTCATATGAACGTTGCATGTTTTATATTTATATGTGAGCCTTTTCTGAGCCTGTTCTGTTGATTGAGGAGTTTGTACGTTCTGTAGCATCATCAGCTCGTCCTCTCCAAATCCCAGCATTGATATTCACTGAGCGACGTGTGATGACAAAACCCTTTAAACATCTTTTTATCCCCCAATTCCAGACTTATCTCCTATCTTTGCATCGTCAGGCTTTGAGGGGATCACAACACAATCCTACAAGCGTGTATTATACCTCCATTTTCTACTTGCTGCTAAGAGGGAAGCTGTCATGTTAAAAGGCAAAGGATAGACGTTGACCATTAACACTGTGACCGAGGACGCTACTAAAATGTGCAATGGTCTTTCTTTTTTACTTGGTTTTATCGAAAAATATTTGTGAAAGGTCAGAAAATGTCAAGTTGTGTGAAGTTGCATCAAAGTTTTAGTTTAAGTTTGACTGCTAATGTCTCAGGAATGAAATATCATTGCAATAATGGATTTAATGAGTCTGTTTGCAAAATAACTCATTTAAAAATTATCTGTAAAAGAAGACGAAAATTAAACGTTTTATCAAATGTGACAGAAAAGAAAATATACAAGAGAAGTGTCAGAAATGCAAAACAAGGAGACCATCCGTCCACTTTTTATGCCCGTTTATTCTTTCAGGGTCACAAGAGGTCATGGTACATGGTTGCCAAAAACACAAAATATTAAAATATGTTGAAGCAAAAATGTAGAACTGGATAAAATTTCAAAAAAAAGAACAGTAACTAAGTTGCCAAAAATACCAAGCAAAATATTGGCTGAAGACAGCAAAAGCAACCAAACCGATTCCATGAACCAAAGCAAGACAACAAAGATCAAACACTGCTACAGGTTATTCAGGAAATTGTGAAAAATTAAACTATTTTCTCTTACTGAAACAAAACAGAAGAAATACAGCATAAGCAAAAGAAGAAAGAAACTCAGGCTTAATAAAACAAAAACAAAAAAAGAGGCAGAATATGCAAATTATAACTAATATGCAATCAGTGTGTCATAAAACAAAACTTTATAACTCAACATGGCAAAACAAAAATATGGAAGCTGTTTGGTAATGAAAAATACAAATCACCAAAAGGAAAAAAAAAAACAAAAAATTTTAAAAATACTGAGGAAAACAGAACAACAAACAAATTCAAGTAAATAAACCAAAAATGAACAATGTATTTTTATTGTAAAATTAAACATTTCCAAAGAATTTAAAGCATCTTTTTTAAACAAATCAGAAACTGTACTGGACACAAAATGCAAACAGGCTAAAAGAAATAATTACAAAAATAAGAAAACAAATAAAGTTAGCACACTTTTGATGATGTCAGCAAAAATAGGAAGCCCACCTGTCACATAAGTACAATAACAGAAGTGCAATTAACAGAAAGTTAAGCTCCCATCAAAAACTATATTTAAATTAAATTATATGTTGTTGTGTTTTTGTCTTTAAAGTGTTTGGTTTTTCTTTTTTTTTTTTTGCAATATTTCTAAAACATACCCTGAAACACATTTTTTGCGTTTTTTTTTTCTGAAAAATTGTCAGGGAAAAGGTTGTATTCCTTCTGCTCCCAAATAGTTTAAATATTGCTGCTGTGTTTTGTTGAAAAAGAAGAAAAAAAAAACCTTCTGAAGCTTTGTTCCACTTTGATTTTCGCTCTGTTTTCACAGTGCAGCGTTTTTGGTTTTTCTGGTTGCAGTTTGTCCAAAGTCTCTCCAGACTTTTCCTGACACGCTGCCAGCTGCCCGGCGAGGACACACAAACGAACACCTTGTACAGTTTCTGCCGTCTGCTTGGGTGTTTTGACAAATCTACGAGACAAGCTACTCCAGCGGTAAAAGATATAAAAAAGTGATTTCATTATGGACTGACAGCTCCCGAAGAGAAAAATAAAAATAGAAATCATGTGTATAAGGCAGTGCTTTGTTTGCATGCCAGTATAGACAGTGATTAAAAGTGATGCATTAACTTCCTGGTTTGTTGTTTACCTCCCAGCAGCTACAGTAGCAGCAAACCTTTGACCTCTCGCAAGGGGTCAGATAACCTCTGTGACTTTTTCCATGGCTTGTCCCCCTTACCTTCAGCGTCCCCAGATGTCCAACATCGTCTCATTGGTCATTGTGATATTTAGAGACAAAGAGATGAAATTACAGGCTGTTTGTCAGCCCTGGCTCACTCGGCTCTCATCTCCCCAAACCCATCATCCGTGGCAAAAGATCCGCTTGCTGCCTCGTGTCACTCCATCTCGCCGTCACCTTGGCAACTGCTGCCGAGGTGAACCGCCATCTGGGATAGCCGACCTCATCCGCTGGCTGATTTCCACAGAGCTGCAGTCCACAGCGCTGCCAC